CCAAGGCGCTCCCAGGCCAGCGAAGAGATATAATCCCTCCACCTGGTCCTAGGTCTACCCCTTGGTCTCTTCCCAGCTGGACGTGCCTGGAACACCTCCCTAGGGAGGCGTCCAGGTGGCATCCTAACTAGGTGCCCGAACCACCTCAACTGGCTCCTTTCGACGCGAAGGAGGAGCGGCTCAACTCCGAGTCCCTCCCTGATGACCGAACTTCTCACCTTATCCCTAAGGGAGACACCAGCCACCCTGCGGAGAAAACCCATCTCGGCCGCTTGTATCCGCGATCTCGTTCTTTCGGTCATGACCCATCCTTCATGACCATAGGTGAGGGTAGGAACGAAAATGGCCCGGAAGACCGAGAGCTTTGCCTTCTGGCTCAGCTCCCTTTTCGTCACAACGGTGCGGTAAAGCGACTGCAGTACCGCTCCCCGCTGCTCCGATTCTCCGGCCCATCTCACGCTCCATTGTTCCCTCACTCGAGAACAAGACCCCGAGATACTTGAACTCCTTCACTTGGGGTAAGGACTCATTCCCTACCTGGAGTGGACAGTCCATCGGTTTCCTGCTGAGAACCATGGCCTCAGATTTGGAGGTGCTGATCCTCATCCCAGCCGCTTCACACTCGGTTGCGAACCGATCCAGTGAGTGCTGAAGGTCGCAGACCGATGAAGCCATTAGAACCACATCATCTGCAAAAAGCAGTGGTGCAATCCTTAGTCCACCGAACTGCAGACCCCCTCCCCCATGACTACGCCTCGAAATCCGATCCATGTATATTACAAACAGGATTGGTGACAAAGCGCAGCCCTGGCGGAGGCCAACCCTCACCGGAAATGGGTCCGACTTACTGCCGAGGACCCGGACACAGCTCTCGCTTTGGGAGTACAGAGATTGGATGGCCCTGAGTAGAGACCCCCTCACCCCATACTCCCGCAGCACCTCCCACAGTAACTCCCTGGGAACTCGGTCATACGCCTTCTCCAAGTCTACAAAACACATGTAGACCGGATAAGCGTACTCCCAGGCCCCCTCCAGGATCAGGACTCAGTTGCCGTTACAAATAAAACCACCGGTAACATATACCAAATCCAATCTGGTCGTGTCGTTTCCCTTTTGTACCCCTAGCCAAGAGGGAACGTAACACTCATTCAGATCAATGGAAAGGCTCTCCTTCACTGATCACTGCACATCTCCATGGTAACCTTTGATCTCTGCACACAGGTGTTTGATAACGTTGTCACCATGGAAACCTTTGATCTCTGGGCTCACACACAGGTGTTATGATTAGGTGCTCAGCACAGAAACAAACACTGACAAACAGACTGAACTATAACAGACTGTCTCAGCCTATTATTTTCTGTCTGATGGAGACTTCATACAGACTTCAACATGTTCCACATATTTTATACATTATTGGTGACATGGGTTTAGTCGAAAAGTTTGCAGTTAAAATATTCTGCTGCTTTTCCAAGCCTTTTTACTTTCTTTTCTCTTCTTAATACACATTCATTCACTATACTACTTACATTTATCTAACTCCTTCAGCCTACTTTCAGCTGCAGAAACCATTCAACTATTAACTTATTCAGCTATTTCAGGACATTGAGGCTATACATTTAGTCGTTTATACCTTTTTTAAACCTTTTCTTTTAAATAGTAAGCTTCCTCACTATTTGTCCTACTCTTCCAGTTTAACATTTCACTTTCAAGTTTTCAAAAAAGTCATTGCAATGCATTTGAGCTGTAACAATTTTGATTCAAATCATTTCACTTTCTGCATTTCTCTGCTAAGTTCAGCAACACACTTACTTGGTTTTTGTAGCTAACAGCAGCTACAGAGACCATTCAGCTAATAAAATATTCAGATTTTTCTGCATTTTCAGCTAAATTCAGCAACAAATGAACACAGTTTACAGCATTCACACGCATTTTCAGCAGGAAATGCATTTTCTAGTTCTTATTGTCATGGCAACACTTGCACTTAATGCTTTGAGCATTGAGAAAATACAAAAATGTGTTTACTGTAATTGTGCGCTGCATCAGAGTTTGCACATTACTTATTAACATGTTTAATGTTTAAAATGTGCCCTATTATGCTTTTTGAGTTTTCTCTTTTGTGCATGTAAGTGGTCTGCAAAGGCTAAAATCCCAAAGAGATTCTGAACAGTAAAGCATGGAGACATGTCACAGAAGAGGCACAAAATACAAATATGAACCTGAAAATGAACATAAAATGTCAAATCTTTCTACTATCTTTTTGAAATTCCAAAAGATGACTTTCAAAAGAAAATGTACAGTTACATTTTGAAATAAAATATATGAAAGCTTCGAAAAAGATCGAAAATTGTCAAACATCATGATGTATTTTCAATATTAGTCAACACATTTTCTTTGTACTAGAAATGAAACATCATAAAATTAAATCTTTGTGTGTTCGCCATTTTTGTTTGTGCTTGAGACTGGCTCCAAGAGAATATGCCTAATTACTTAGCCTGGGAGATTTTCCCATATTGTCAGTAAGTGGCTTTCCCACATGTGGAAAAATAAAGATATTGTTGCAGGTTGGTTATACCTTGAATTAGATTAGGACCCTTTTATAAGCTGTTGAAGTTGCTTTCTTGTCCCTTAACAATTACCATTAAAGAGCTCTCAAGCAGGGCTCATCACCCCCCCGCCGTTCCAGAACCGCCCGGGGAGAACAAGCTTTGTTCATTCTGCATGTTAAACGAGGTGGAAGCAGTATTATACACTTCTTCATTTTACGCTCACAAACTGACCTTTCGAAAAACTACCAGATATATCGAGTCTTAAAAAGCGTTCCAACAAAAAAGTGGCTGAACTTTCAGAAAAAAAATCCAAAATGTAGAACATTTGCCAAATCTAAGCACAGCAAGAAGATAATAACATGTAGTTAAATGCTACTCCTTACTGTGTAGAATGATCCTGCAATATGACTCTCGTAACGCATCTTCCACTTGGGTATTTATGTTTATACATGTATTCTGTTAGTCACACTAAGGCAATATTCAAGTATAGAGTCTAATTGAAATGTAATATGTGTAATTATCTTGCCACCTACAAGCAGTTGTGACCTGCTGTGAATTGGGTTCTTGATGAACGTTATGTTATTAGTAAATGTGCCTTGTTAAACCCAGACTCACTTAATGGTGATACAATATGGATTTAGCCTTTATTGTTCCAATATTATTATGATTTCTCCTCACAAGCTTTAGCCAATAACACAGAAGTAATCCCCATCACAGCCTTACTGTAAATCAGTCGTGTATACACAACTCTATAATACATGTGTATTCTCTAAGTCACATTTAAGCAATGTTCAAGTAAGCAATTATGGAGTCTAATTTATATTGAATATTTGTAATCCTCTTGCCACCCCACCCCCCTAACCCACCAGAGCACCCACAATCTAAAACTAGCCCAAGTTGTATATATATATAAAAAATATTATCTGTATTATTATATTTATATGTATGGCCAGGTAAGTATATATATTATAAGTCATTGTTATTGTGTTTTTATAAATATATATCCTGCACCACCTTTACTTTCCCCCTGTCTTTTGCTCCAGTTGCCCCATCACTTACCTGTCTATCAGTTTGTCTGACTGCCTTAGCTTCAGTCCGTCTGTCCAAATGAGTGTCTATGCCATTTAAGGTTTGTGGGAGTGTGGGAGGGAGAGGGCGATAAGGGTACCAGGGGAGGAGGGGAGAAGTGACTTCACCTGTTTTTGCAATATGTGCAAAACTTAAAAAATAAATATATATACAGTATAAACAATTGGAAACACTCAATTCAACTACAATTACCTCAAAAGTATGTACTTGAGTAAATTTACTAAAACCTATAACTTGTAAAACCTATAAAGCGTAGGCATGAATACACATTCTCAGTGCTGTAGTAAAAATAGATGTTTTGCTACATTTGCCTCCGAGTCCATCTGGAAATCATCAGATTGTGATTCAAACTGCAGTGTTGTCCCTCATATGATACAGCTGATTTACCTCAGCTTCCAGACACCTGTACACACACACACACACACACACACACACACACACACACACCACACACACACACACACACACACACACACACACACACACACACACACACACACACACACACACACACACATGCATGCTTCCACACAGCCTGGAGCTATAACTAAGTGTTGTAATTGCTGAGAAAACCGCCAACACTTGACACTGTCTCCCAGAGAAGAGGAAGACGAGGGAAGTGAAGAAAGCATGAAGACAAAAAGACAAACACACATTCAAGTTCTCCTGCTGATGCACAGTGACAAACAGACTCACATGCACACTAATGAAAACATTGGCGGAGTGAATAGCCAGAGGGTGCAAACTGTTCAAACATTACACAAATGTGCCACTTCAGTGCCAGGGGAGGTGAATGTTTAGCCCACCCTCTGCAGAGTGCCCGTGTTGAAGTGGTATTTGGCATTTGGGACGGCTAAAAAAACTGGAGCCATGCCGGGGCCGCAGCTGATTTAAAGTGACAGGGACGCAAGGCCATCGTATTCATCACACGGGAGTGGCCCCGCACTCACCCACTCCCAAAGTACCCTCCTATTTTCAGGCCCAGTCCCCGCTAAAACGCCACCTATCAGCAGCTGATCTATGGCGTGCCAACAGCGCCAAATAAGGTGTCATTTTCCTGAGACAAATAGGCAACAACAGACTTAAGGGCAGGTGGTAACCCCTTCCCACGTAGCTTAAACTTCACTTTACTGGGCCCACAAGCTGCTGGACAAGCTGTTTTCATATGTGCCTCTCCTCTTTTAGAACATATTTCTCCCTATTATGTTTGCAAGTGTCAAAAGTATGGCTTCAATAAAAAAAAGACCATTGGGAATAAGTAGGAAGCAATGGCGAAGCAGGGCTTCCGGACCACAGGTTGGAGTTGGTGGATTTTTTACAACAAACCCAAATAAAAAACGGGGGGGGCACTAACTTGTGCCTTACCTTGCTGAGCTGACTGGCTGGTGAAGCGCTGTTGTTGACGGTGTGGCATTTGAAGTTGAGCAACGACTCCCCCGCGGCGTCACCCTCTCTGATCTTGTCCTGGTCGGAGTGGGAGTGGCCGTCAGGGAGGGGCGAGGTGGCAGATGAGGGGGGGGGGGCGCTGAAGTGCAGTACAGGACAGACCGAGGAAGTTGGACGGTCGGATCAGAAAGGCCTCCAGAGCTATGTTAGCTGAAACCTAAGGGGACCACACATTTGGCAGAAAGGGGGGAAGGGTTGGAGGGTGGTGTAAGAGATTTCTACATTAGTCATTTTCTCCTTTCATGTTCGATTCACTACTTTCATCAGTCATAAATATTGTGTTTTATATTTGATTGCCTCAAGGCCTTCTGATATCCTCACAGTAGGCATTTGAATATTTGCAATACTGATCACCACTTTCATGGAATATTTAGTGGTTTAGTCCACTTTGTGACACCTATGATGTTCCCGGTGAAAAATGGCCACCATAGGAAATGAATGGCTAACCCTAGATTATGTTCATCCATCAGATAGGACACCATACAGTACAACCATGTGCATTTTTGAATAAATGTTCAGTGTCTATTCTTTGTATATTCACTGCAGTTATTCATGTAAACCAGTATTTTGAGACATTGTTTACAGCTTAAATGTCATTTTGGTGATGATTAATGGTTTTTGAGTTAATGTAAAAGCAGTTAAAATAGGCCTGTCAGATTTGACCATGAACACCAAAGTAAGGAACTAGAAACAAACATGAAAGGAGGGTCAAGAAGATGCTTTTATACCAAGTGACAGCAAAATAAGCAATTCATTTTTTTCATGCATTCTTCTAGCTATCAGCTCGAGCCAAATTAACTTGTCATTATTCTACGGAGCAAGAAAAAAGGTAAGGCTTTGGGCAATTTAATCAGATTAACAACTTTAGCCTTGACTGAGTCTTTCCGATGTTTTTGGGTGTTTGAAAGTCAGGCCGTACCTTAGAAATGACCTGATTGTCTCCGGTCAGCGACAGGTCGGCGATGCGCTCCACGCACTGGACGATGCGAGTGCACGCTCTGGCCTCATTCTGGGCCATCCACAGGACGTGCTCCTCCACCAGCATCATGTTACTGGCGATGTCTGATATATAGTCCCCCAGCTGCACACACAGAGGCACACTTGTATGCAAAACTAGACAAATTGTAATAAGCCAAAACACACTTGCAGTAGACTCATCATGCACATCAATCATATCCGCAACAACAGGCACATTTATAATCTACAGTCAGAATTGTGGGGGAGGCAATGGTGGCTTCATTCATTATAGGGAGATTTAATTTAGATTAGCAGCTCCAATGGGGCATAATCGCTTCCTTGGGATGGCAGCTCGCTAGTTACTTACTGTACTTTTCATTGTTGCTTCAATTGACTGGATGAATGAGGGTGGTCTCATCAGCATTGTCTTAAGAATGATACAATGGAAGTATCTTCTAATAATACCTCCTCCCGGGCGACCTATAATGAATAATTGGACCAGTGAGAGCTAATATTGATTATTTCCACTGAGTAAGCTCAACACCATTCCCTCCCTACATTCTGACCTTCAGTGTGACGTAAGGCCCTCCGATTGCCGCTGGCCACAGACAGAGGAGAGTTTCGCTTAAGGTAAAACACAGCTTGCTCAAAAACAGATGCATCTTCATAACCATCATTGCCATTCAGGTCCAACGCCAGAGGGTAGTGCGCAAGGTGAAAAGTTAAGCTGTCTGGAATCGATTAAAGGGTTGAAGCCAGGAGACAGCGTGCTGCCATGTCTTTTTGGGGCAGATCATGCTGTCTGCGGCTCAGATTCAATGAAGAGTCCTTTTCTGTTTGCTCTGTTGACCTTCATTAAGCCCATCCCTAGGACAACCACTGTCCAATCCTTCAGTAAACATTCTAGGAAAATTGAGATGTTAGTTTGTGCTGACTCTCCAGGTAAAATCGGAGTGTTACCTCTAATGGGCCGTCCTTCCTGGTCAATCAGTTGCATTAACGCTGCCTGTATTGCAGTTTCTGCTTCATCCCTCAGCTTCCTCCAGCCTACTGTTGGCTCTGTACAATTCCTGTTTTTGTTCTGTTAGTTGTTGTATCTTGTCTAAAGTCCTTGATTTCTCTAAGTATACTTGCTAGAATCTCTTAATTTGTCTTCTTCCGAGCTACTTCGGGAATAAAATGTTGATTTGTCAACGTCATTGATGCAATTTGTCTACGCTTTCCATACTGTATGTGTATGAAAACCCTCACTTTGTTATTAATAGGATTGTTAGTAGGTTTTTTATTTACAAAATCGTCTGCAGCTCAAAAATTAAGCTGCCAAGTTTAAAGGTTAGTTAAGTCCCTGTAACTATTTCACCAGCACTTAGAATGGTATGACTTTCTTGAAGTGAATATATCTGCACTTCCCTTTTTGTTAGAAATATTAATCCTCATTGTTTTTGCACACAAACAACTGGAAAATATTCCTTTCGTTTTTGTAATCATTTCGTTTTTTTAGGTTAATGGAAGCTATAGGGAGTAATAACCAAACTTAGTCAAAATTAAAGAATATATATATTGAAGTACCTGGCTGCAATGATATTACTGTTCCTGTACGCTTGTCCTTCAAGTGGTTTCTGGCGCTTGCATTGACGGGTCAAATGTTTCGCTTCATAAAATGGCTTCTTTATTCACAATACTCAACAAAGTATAATGTAAGTTTAGTCCTTCTGTCCTGGCTCGCATTTCAGAATTATTATATTTAGAAATTTGCTATCAATACTTATATATATTTTACATGTGGAGGGAAAAATGGACAGTCTTGGCAACAGGAGCCAAGGGGGAGGGGCTTAACGTAGGGTCAGTTGGAGCTTTTTAAGGCAAATTATTTATTTCAGCGAGCTGTGAAAAAGCACATGTAAGAGAAGCAGGAAACAATACCAGCGAAGTAGTACACCTTTGAAACACGATGCTTCAAAATAAACAGTTTTTCAAATGTTCACGTCTGGATCTGATGCTTAGATCCCACGTCACGTAGCAAACTGCCTGTGGCGTCCCTCTGTGTGTTCACTCACATCTTTACGTTTCTCCACCAGCCTCGTCAACCTCTCCACCAGGTGAGTGACGAAGATGACGTCCATGACATCAGTGAAGTGTTCTGCCCTGCTGGTGAAGGCCACTAACTGCTGGCCCAAGGGCTGAGCATTGGTGGTATTCACAGTTATCTGGAATCAAATAAAACATACATCAGTATTTAGTCCATCAGTGCAATTCAACAAAGACATCACATGAAGTAGCTCTGACAACATTTAATAAATAATACATCACAGTAATGCTGTTTCATGTCATGCATGTCGTTTTGAACTTGAATGTGGTACAGTAATCCTGTGTGTAATGTAGGATGAAACAGCTTATCGTCAGTCACTTTGTATTATGTATATAAAGGCTTACATGTACAGTTCTTCAAATACCTGCAGGCTACCCAAGAGCCAGTGGAGATGTTTGTATCTGTATTCCAGGAATATGAAATCAAAGTATGAGTTAGGATTGCACGATATACTGTATATCACCGGCGATCTATGATTGGAGGTGATGGAAAATGTTTAGCATTACGTTTTATTCTGATATAGAATTAAGGCCGCTAAATTGGCAGCCGATAATATAGGGCCAAATTGCTTTAACTGACTTAACATGTTCAGGATATGAACACTCCATTACTCCAAGTAACCCTAACACTTTTTAAACAGGATATACTATCCTCATTTTCAGGTTCATATCAGTATGTAGTGTCTCTCCTGTGACATGTCTCCTTGCTTTAATGTTCAAAAAGCTCTTTATTTTTTCTCATACTGCCTGTGCTGCAGCACCTCTTTTCACCCTCTGTCTGAAACCAGAGCCCAGTCTGCTCTGATTGGTTAGAGCATGTGTCGGAAATGCCCTGTCCCTAACCAACATTCCTTTACATAGGGATGTCACTTTGTTAGTGAAGTTAACAAAGGAGTACATTTTAGCCTCTGCAGAACATTTACATCCACAAAAACCTATATAACGCACTAAAGGAAAGGGAACACCCCAAAAAGCACCCTATAGGGCCTCTTTAAAGCTGGTTTGGAATCAGACAATAAAAACAGGGAATAATTATAAACCTAGAGATCTGAACATTACCGTCTGCATTGCTGATCATTTACAGAGTTTCAAAGGAAGAACAGTTTTGTTCTAAATAAAAAGGTTTGTTATCTGCAATAAAAGCCTTTGATTATTTTAGAATTTTTTTTGAATGAACATTGATAAATCAGTGTTTTTCTTACGCTCGGATGTGCCTAAAACAAGGTAATGAAAGTATTTAAAAAATTGAAAGTCAAATTGGGTATCTGCTATAAAAGCAGGTCATTATGAATTATTGGTTATGAAAAAATCAATAGTGCATCACTAGTCTGAGTTCCTTAAACCAATTCATTGACATTAGGGGGACAAGTGTGGAATACATTCTGTGAATAAATCTGAGCACGAGCTCTCTGTGTGTTTAAAATAAAATAAGACTTTGTTTATCCAGAAGGAAAGTCCTGCGCTAGAGTTGCAACAGATTAAAGCTCAATAAACATAATAATAATACAACGTTATACTAACAGTGCAGTAAAAGAGCAAATAAAAAAAAAACGAGAACAACGAAAACTGTACAGTGAGGAGCGGTGACAGAAACGTTACGTAATCAGTACCTGTGTGAGTTCGTGCAGCACGCGGGTCAGCTCGCTGGCGTACAGACACTGGGTGTAGTCCTCCTCCGCCCAGCGTCCACTTTGGTCACAGCTCCGCCAAGCCTTCTTCCCCCTCTGGCTGGAGGGGTGGGCGGCGCTGCCAGAGGGGTGGGGGGCCGAGCCAAAGGTGGCAGCAGCGCAGGGCAAGAAGGCAAGGATGCCAGCTAAAGTCTTTGGCCACCTGCCAAAAAAAACATCAGAATCTTCAGTCAGTGCTCCAGATGGCAATTTCATACTCCCTGTAGGAAATGATTCATTTGCATATTTGATTTTCCAGCTATCTGTAATTATTTTTGCAGAATACTGCCAGATTCTGTTACTTGATTGTTGTGTCTTTGTGAAGATTCGGACTTAATTCACTTTATTTACTAACTTTATTTATCAAATTAACAGTCGTTCCAATTTGAGCACCATGACAAAAAAAAAGTTTGATTAATTACAGAATGCACTTTAAAAGAGACACACAACCAACTGCAGGCATCAAGATTAGTTCACTGCTCTGAATGACATAAAACTAATTCCCAATAATTTCATTGGGGTTATCTTTATGACCTTGCACGAGGTACACCCGTAGCCAGAGTGTCAGGATTCGTGGAAAAAGTAGGACCCAAATGCAGAATAAAAAAGACAAAAAAAAGTCAAGGAACAAAAGGTGAGCTTTATTTTAAAAAACTGATGACTGAAAAAACATGACATGAAATAAACAGGTAGCACGAGGTAAAGACAAACTGACCATGACCAACATGGAGGGAGACCATACTTGTCAACCCTCCCGATTTTCGCGGGAGACTCTTGATTTCATTGCCCTCTCCCGGTTTCCTCCCAAGGTCATATTTCTCCCGCATTTCTCCCGATTTCTGACAAAATCAGATTTATTCAGGACTGTTTCCACTCGGACTTTAATACAGCTACACCATTGTTTGGTTTCCATGGTAGCGCGTCTCTTTAGTAGCGTTCGCAACTGAAAGTCTGAGGCAGATAGTCACAGAAAACAGAACAAGAATCGACAACTCGACCCTCTGCTCACTCCTTTCCTGAAAAATACAGGTCCAGCCCACACATACGCTCCATGCTACAGGCCGCAAGGCAGTGCACTTACAACTACAATAAGCATGTTAATGTTAATCTAATACAGCTCCGGCGATCCACTAACCCCCCCCCCCGCGGTGGTTTTGAAATGCTCCCGCTTTCTGAGGTCTCAAGGTTGGCAAGTATGAGGGAGACAGGAAAGACAGACAAGACACAGGGAGAACAGAATTGCAAAATAAAACCCATGACAAGACAGACAAAACAAAAATCGTGCCATAAAACTATGATAGTGACAGAACCCCCCCAAGGGACGGATTCAAGACGTCCACATCAAGTCCAACACTTCCAAAAGGGTGGGTGGAGGGGGTCCGGAGCACGGGTTTTAGGCACGGCAGAGGACCAGGAGTCGGTCTGGGGCAGACGGCCCGGGGGCAAGGCAGAGGAACAGGAGTCGGTCTTGGCCGGCCGGCCCGGGGGCACGGCAGAGGCCGGGAAGTGGCTAAGGCCGGGAAGCGGCTAAGGCCGCGGTGGGCATAGTCAGGGAGCCGGGCACAAGGACGGACCGGGTTCGTGGCCGACTGGACCACCGGCGGAATAGGATCTGGTGTCGGTGGGACACCCGGCAGGACAGAGTTCGTAGCCGGCGGAGACTTGAAAAGGGACTCGAGACGGGACTTGAGAGGGGACTCGAGAGGGGACTCGAGACGGCAGGACCCACGATGAAGAAGGGACTTGAGTCGGCCGGTACGCCGACAGGACACGGGGGGTTGGCATCGGCCGGAGAGCCAACAGGAGACGAGGAGCTGGAGTCGGCCAGTACGCCGACAGGACACGGGGGGCTGGCGACGGCCGGAGAGCCAGTACTGGAGCCGGGACCATCGCTGCATGGACCAGTACTGGAGCCGGAACCATGGTTGCTAAGACCGGTACTGGAGCCGCGGACCATGGCTGCTGGGACCGCTACTAGGGCCGGAACTGGAGCCGCTGGAGTTCGGGCTGGAATCCTGGCCTTGCATCTTCCAGAAACCTTCCGGAGGGTCCGCGGAACTCCAAAGGCCAGGCCAGACCCCAGGAAAGGGTTAGAGGCTTGAGACACATTTTCAGGACTACTTGTAAAAAGTTGTAGCAACCTCCTGGCGTGCCTCCTTCAAAGCAGCCTCTCTACCCCGTCTAGATGAGGCGTCATACCAGGTATAACAAATGTACTCCATAGAGTACCCAAGACGTTCCGCCTGTAGAGCCAAAAAATCAGAATCTGCTGGCTCCAAATTTGGTCGGTTCATTCATGTCAGGATTCGGGGGGAAAGTAGGACCCAAATGCAAAATAAAAAAGACAAAAAAAAGTCAATGAACAAAAGGCGAGATTTATTTAAAAAAAACTGATGGCTGAAAAAACATGACATGAAATAAACAGGTAGCACGAGGTAAACAAAAACTGACCGTGACCAACATGGAGGGATACAGGAAAGACAGACAAGACACAGGGAGAACAGAATTGCAAAATAAAACCCATGACAAGACAGAGAAAACTAAAATCGTGACATAAAACTAAGATCATGACACAGAGGTGTTTTTTGTCTCAGTGTGTGTGTGCGTGTGTGTGTGTGTGTGTGTGTGTGTGTGTGTGTGTGTGTGTGTGTGTATACACATCAATTTTGATTATCTGGCTAACCCTTGAACGTACCCTTTTGACGCATGGCGTGAGTGGCACATGTGAAGTTTATTTGGAACAGTGCTTCTTTAGAAAAATGCAAAGAGCGCAGTCTGTCAGGCCGGACTTTGGTTAGCAGAGCCTAAAAAGTGGATGCAAAATAGTTTTGCATCAAAATCCAGCTCGGCAAGGTCCGCTAACGGCATAGGCGGCGCGTGAGGCTCAGGTTTGGGAAGGCCACTTTTTTTACCTGACGCTGCCCGCCCCCGGCGTCTATAGAAAAGAGCTCAACTCAGTGAAAGCACCGCCTGCTGACCAATCAGAGCTCAGTGTGCGGAATTTAAATCTATCAAGTCATATTACAGGAGAAAGGAAATACAGTTTAAACTGCCATATGCAGAGAAGACGCCGACGTGTACAGACACTATTCAGACGTCTTGTTGTGCGTAGACGGCTCTGCTAAAGATTCTTCCCTAGTTTAAGTTTCATGTTCTGTGTTTAGATGGTTCCTGTTTTATTTTGATAGTCTTGTCTACCCTCATGTGTCTAAAGTACATTTCCTGCCTTGTCTCTTTTCCCGCTGTTTGTCTAAATTGTCTTCACCTGGTGTTGTCTGTCTTCCCCTGACTCTTTGCCAGATTGTCTTGTGTGTTCCAAGCATTCCAGCATTAAGATCATTTGTCATTGTCCTTAGAGTTATCGTCCATAGAGTGTTAGGTTAAGTAAGTCGTTTTTTGATAGTATAGGTTAGACAGTTTATTGAGTGTTTGTTTTGTTACTTTATGTATTCAGTGTGTTGTTACCTGATTACATTAAAACACTTTATTTTGATACTTTGTTTGTCTCTGCATCGTGCATTTGATTCCACGCCTTTGTACAGCCTTAACACGTCTCTGTATTCTTGTTTTGATCAAAATAGTAATATTTTAAACCGAGATTTAGGGTTAGCTTTTTGGAACAAAATAGAGACATGGAAACTTAAAAGCCAGGAAAGGTCTGAAGAAAGACAATATTGAGAGTATTGAATCTTTGGAATTGTTGGATTCAGTTTTTGTGGCTTGACACAAAAACTGCAGCTCAGTGTTGATCATCTCTCCTTTAACATGTCTCTCACAAGTCCTACAACTATATTAAAGTGAAATACTAAACTACCACAGAGACAGACATATATATTTAGAGGAAACCTATTCTTTCCTAAAGGGGAGATTCAGCCTAAAATAATAATTGCAAGTGTTGTTCCTAGGGCCATGCAAAGTTCAACAAAGTCTCCTCTGAAGCAGGAAATGAGACTTTGTCAATAATGTCAAGAGCCAAGTACCTGAACTGCTCTACTGACCAGCCTGCGATACGAGCCAGGGTGATTTTCCCCTGAAATGGACATTTTCATTTTCCGGGTAATGCCTGTTAGTGTTGCAATGAAATAAAGCTCATTTGAGTGTAAAAAGTCAGCCAAACATTCACAGTCCACTACATTAGCTTCTATTTTCCAGATAATAAAATAACTCCAGGTTTGGTTTCTTGGCGCTCTTGTAGATTAAAAGGTCTTATTTTATCTAGTTGCTGCTGAGAGCACTCAGTGGGTTGTTCCGAGTGAACTTAAGACCTTCCTTTTTGATAAAGCTTATAGTTAGGGCTGATTAGATTCAGCCCCTAGTTTTGCTGATATAGGCTTAGTTTGTCGGGGGACATCTTACTTCTTCCTTATCTCTGTCTATACCAGTGTACTCTCATGTTCCGATTAACCCAGCTTCCCCAAATGTCTTTCTTTTTGGTGTCTATATACGCCGGGTTTCGGAGTCATGGATGATCCTGCGCTCCTCTGTCCTGGATCACGAGCCCTGGATCTTGAGTCGTGGCTGTGGTCCTGGATCATAGGTCCTGGATGGATATCCTCGTGGATTCATCTTCCTATTATACACACATGCATTTCCAAACATTTGGACTACCTATGTTGCAAATGTATTATCTTTTCAATTTACACACGGCATCTATTGCACGTCTGTCCGTCCTGGGAGAGGGATCCCTCCTCTGTTGCTCTCCCTGAGGTTTCTCCCATTTTTCCCTTTAAACTGTGGGTTTTCTCCGGAAGTTTTTCCTTGTACGATGTGAGGGTCTAAGGACAGAGGGTCTAAGGACAGAGGGTGTCGTATTGTCATACTGATATTCTGTACACACTGTGAAGTCCACTGAGACAAATGTAACATTTGTGATATTGGGCTATATAAATAAACATTGATTGATTGACGAGACGCCAACAGGGTTGGAAAGGTGGAGTATGTGAGAGTGTGTGAACAAGGTTTCAAGGTTTGCGAGAAGTGGAAGATGTGTGTTTTTAGTTAATCTTTTTATATAAGCCTTGGGAACAAGATCTTTCCTCTTTTTAACAGTCTTGCTATAAAGTTAAACTATATTGAGCCATAACGTTTGTGGGAGTTTTCACATCACATATCCAATTATTATTAAAATAAATTATCTGTTCAGAATCTACTCTTCGTACAAAATACTGCTCTCTGTCGGGTAATGAGCCACATCTGGCACAGCAAACCAGGTGTGGCAGGTTTTTGTCAGGTTGAACAAAAAGCAGCAAGAAGCAGACTAAAGTAGCTCAACTGCACCGTACATGTAGAAATAATCGCAGAGAGAATGATTGCAGAATTAACTTTATACCGTAGTCTGTCATTTGGACTCAAATTACGGTGAGGTTAAACTATTGCCTTCGCTGATAACACCTTTGTTAGTGATAACTGTCCATTAATAATAATTACACTAGTTCGTATATGAAAATGATTCTTAAGATTAAAGCATATGGTTTATTTACAACAAACAAAATGTTGTACACATTCAATATGTGCCTTAATGCTTCAAGAATACATTTTTTATATCATTTTTAACTGAAACCTGAGAGCCTTGTTTTGTCCATGGTCGTCTGCATCGCTTTAAATGAAGCAAGACTTCCTACATTTAGTGTTTTGTAAGAGAGAAAGAGCAGGTGTCAAATCTACAATCAGAGATAGACAGAGCTTCCTTCTTGCAATGTTATCAAAGGATTTTTGTGACATTTAGACAAAGCTAGGCTAGCTTTTTCCAGCTGAGCTGCTGGCAGGTTTATAAAGTATTTGACATGAAGGCAGTGTTAATCTTCTCATCTACGTCCTGGAGTTTGGAAAAGTGTTTGAATGTCAATTCCTTTCGTTCAAAACAATTACAAAAAAACTGAGTTTGGTTATATTGTGAAGTAGAGTATGATAACCGGATTAGTTGTCTTCACTATTATTGCCGAAATTGCATTTAGTAAAACAAGTTAATCACATGTAGAAATGTGTGTTTGTCCAACACATTTAAGGAAACACAGTATCGTGGGTCTATAATAAACTGCTAGCGTTTATTTCTCCGATAATGTACGTTCCTCAGAAGATCTTTCTGAATAATTTTTACCAGAGTTCTCTTTCACTCCGAAACAAGTAAAACCAGTGAAAACACAAAAATAAAGCACTTTCACGTTAGAAAAGTGTTATTGCTTTTCCAGTTATCACCCGTCCCCTTGTGTGTTATGAAGGTTTTTATGCATGTAAGCGGTGTGCAGAGTCAAAACCCTCAAAGTACACCCTGTAGCGAGTAAAACTCTAACACAGAAAATACCTCCCAAAACGACTCGTTGGTGAAACGTCATTGTCCATTTTTTACTTCCTGGGTGCTGTGTCGTAGAAGCACCCAGTAGCCACGCCCAGAACTATGACGCGATACGGTCATGCGGTACCCGGAAACGAAATGGACCAATCCGTGGAGCCGTTACGTTAAGCCCCCGCTGATTGGTCCAAATTGACCAATCCACGACTTCCTCACACACTCAGTGCAGGCAGCTCTGCTGATTTCTCCTCCCTGGCTGCAGGCTGATAACAGACAGTTGGGATCGCGGCGAAATTCTCTCTGCAGACCCATTCTCTCTGCAGACCCATTCTCACAGCGTTTATCAACCTTTTTCTTACTCAACATCAAGCCACACTTATTATTTTTACTTCGGCTGTGACTTTGTGTGTGCTCAGGGTGAGTTTGGCTGTGTTTCGCTAAACAAGGAAATCACACCTCCACGGAGCTCAGCGCGATTCACAACGTCCCGACTGGTCCCGACCAATCGGAGCACACTAGGCTCACAGGGAGGGGGGGGGGGGCAAGAGCTGCAGCGAGCCGTTTAGTGGAGAAAGTGAATACTGCTGAATACACATACTTTAAAGAGATGCTGTATGCGAAACCAATGTGAGTTTGGAACATTGCACAGTATTTTTCTATTTTAGTATACCTCAACAATGGAATTATGATCAGTGGAAATGGCCATGACACCTCTCCTTTAAGCAATGTGGCGCAGATGTACTGGTTATGAGCTAACCGCTAACTTTTGCTCATTTTCTTTTTCTAATAACTTTGATGATTTCAATCCATCATTGGTTTAAGGAGGCCTCCACAAAGGTAATACCTTGATTAACATTATGGCTTTGCCTTGATTTGATAATAGCTGGAATAATTTAACTCAACAACATATAAGGCATAGTTTTAGTGCAGGGATGATGGGGTACAGAGTTAAATCCACTGAGAGGAGACTCACCTGAAATCCCCCTTGTTGTTGGTGACTCTGTCTGTGGGGCAGTACGGTGCCGACGTCTCCAGAACCACTATCTCCATTTGCTGAGAGGTGTTGCCACGGGAACTGGTGACCAGGCACTCCCAGGTGCCACCGATGCCAAGCTCAATGTTGGAGAGGATGACCTCACTGGAAGAAAAGAACAGAGGCGTCAAACTGAGTGTGTGGATTAGTGTCAGTGTGGTGTGTGCACTGTTGACTTTCATTAAATGTATTATGTAAACACATAAAGGGGACCTTTCATGCAAAATGCACTTTTTGATGTATTTTATACATAATGATGTGTCTCCGGTGTGCCAGGGAACTCACAAAGTGTCAGAAAACAAAACCCTCTCTCTTTTCCTCCGTACCCGAATCTCTAAAAACGAGGCTACAACGGAGCTGATTCAGATTTGCGTCTGATATGACGTAATATCTGAAATGTGGACCCACGGCACTATCAGAAATTTGCTATCAGAAACAATGCCCGACTATTTTGGACGTAATATGGTCTTTGTTTACATTAGCAAGCATGCTAACACTCAGAGCTAACCTGTACTGGAGAGAGCATGTGTAAAAAAGCAGGAAATCAAAAAAGGAACTCACCTTGCGGTAAACCCGCAAGAAAAGAAGCATTTGAGCTCCATACTGTTTCAGAAATAATCCTTGATGTGGTGTGGAACATGATATGGTGTTTAATCACGGCAGCATTTAGCTGTATCTCGTAGAATTCTGAGGAGGCATTAGCTCCCCCTTCTTTTCTTTTTTTTTCAAGCTAAGGACCCAAAATCAGCGTTTCTCTAACAGGGCTGAAATAGATGGATATGAGGGATGTCTAAAACGCATGATCTGTTTGGTGTTTTGAGCAAAACACATTATAGAATTTTTTTTAAAATATATTTATATCTGAGACCCATAATATATGCCTATAAATAGCATAATGGGAGACCTTTAACATACCTGTAGTAGAACACAACCTGCTTAAAAAGCTGAGGGTTAGGCTGGGTTTCTTCTACAGGAACAAGTCCTGTTTCTCGCTTGAGGCCAGGAAAAGGCTAGTCACTGTGACCTTTTTACCTGTGCTGGACTATGGTGATTTGATGTATATGAATGCACCTGCCAATTGCCTGGTCAAGTTAGATGCTGCGTATCACAGTGCACTAAGATTTGTGACAAATTGTAAAGCATTAACGCATCACTGTACCCTGTATACAAGGGCTGGTTTGCTTTCACTAACTGTACGGAGGCTCAGTCACTGGTATATTTTTATATACAAAGCCATGTTAGGGAAACTTCCATCTTATATCTGCTCCCTGATCTCACGGAAAATTGTAAGTGGCTAATGCCTGAGATCGAATGCTGTGGTTTTATTAAATGTGCCAACTGCTAGGACTGTCTTAGGGAAGACAGCTTTTAGATGCGCAGCTCCTCTGTCTTGGAATAGTCTGCATATTAAATGGAAACTGAACAATCTGGTGCCACTAAATGTTTTTAAAGCTCGGTTGGATGCTACTCAATCGGAAGCTATTGGTACCTGTTTATGTGGATAATTATGTAAATGATGCTGTATGATGTTATTTTGTTTTTCTATTTATGTTTTTATGTTTCATGTGGAACTACTTGAGCAGGTCTCCCTTGAAAAAGAGATCAATGATCTCAATGGGATTTATCTGTATAAATAAAGGTTTGAAATTAAATGAAATGACCTGTAGTAGGTTAGTTGAAAGCAATAATATTACGTTGGAATACAAAAATGTGCTTCAACTTCATATTATTGCTTCAACTAACCTAAAGGTTAGGAAAAGGTGCTGGGTCAGGATTTGTGTTCAGGGTTGAAGATATATTGAGGACTGTCTTTGGGTTAGAACCTGAATAAAGAATGGTATGGATTATTTTTGTATAAGGACTAAAGTTAGGTGTGTACATTGGGGTTAGTTATGTCAGCGGAAGCTCCTCATCAGGATGGGACCACAGAAATGTGTGTTCTTCAAATGAATCAAATGTATTCAGAGAGCCTTGTGGATGTACGAGTATGCAGTGGCTTACAATGTTGGCCGTGACTTAAGATGACCATTACCCATGCTTATCTTTCCTACTTTGTCACAGCGATAACTATCTCAATGGAAAATGCCTGATTAAACAAAGGATGGTGAAACAGTGACAAAGAGCCAATGCAGGCCATTTGCCAAGGCGACTAATCTTGAGGATTTTACTCCTTATGAAAGAAAAAGGATAAAAGCCGCAGAGATTGCTAAGCAACGGGCATTATCACCATGGTAATACGGCCTTGAGAAGTGCCAACTGTTTAATTTCCAAATACGATCCAGTTGTAGTCAAATATACACATTTCCTTGTGTGCACTTAACAAGCTAATGCCTTTTTTTGGATTTAATTAAGCCGCGCGTGCTCATAATATGAGTCACAGTATAGCCACATAATACAGTATGAAGTTTTATAATAGGACTTAGGGAACAATGCCCCACAAACGGAAAGTATGACAGAGTTGACATTCCAAGTGACAGGCTGAACAGGAAGCTGTAATCGTTCAGAGGAAAGATGATTAGTGGCTGAGCGACTCTGATGTGGAGGACCTCTAATCCCAGAAAACGGTTCTGAGGATGTGAGAGACAAATTATTCCGAAACATTAAATGTCTTTATTTTGTTTCTGCTCTCTCTCGTAGCATTGAGACAAAAAGACAGTATTTCCAACTTGAGGCCTTTTTATTAGGGCTAATTGTATTAGAATAGCATAACATGCTTTGGATCCATCTTTCAAAGGGAATGTAACCAAGGAGAGTCTTGAATCTTAATTCCGTCCCCTGCTGAGAACCAGTTTCTAAGACCCGTTGGAATCACATTGCTCTGTGACTTTGAAATTCTCTTAATGATGCTTTCCAACATTTACACATGCGCAATGATGTAAGTCCAAATACAAATGCTGTATGGTGTTTCAGTTGTTCTGGGATCAGGCACATGGCGACAAAAACATACTCAAAAGCTTGGTTGGATAACAGATCTGTATCTGTATCAAAAATAAGATTACATTCCTATTACTACCACAACAAAAAGGTGGTCAGAAAAGGACCAGTGACGTGGCTGTAGAAATTGGAAGAGAAGCTTGTTTTTGACCATGTCTTACAAACAGAAACTTTAATAACAAAGACCAAAAAACACATTTGTCTGAACAGTTCAGGTGGATAATGGATGTTGAGTTAGTGCTGGACTTGTATTTCCATATGTGGATCGTCCTCTGCGCTTTACGGCTGTCTGACTGAAGGGTGAAGCTAATTCATACATAAGTGTTAAAGCAAGCATCTTCCGGTGAGTTTTCATGGTGAATAAACAATGTAAACCAATTTATAGTGGCTCAAAAAACGATGTTTTCAACATGTCGTCATAGAAACAATAAAAAAACTATTTGAGTGAAGATCCATTGTCAACTGTAGGCACAGACCTTATTTCGGGTATTTGACCAAAAACATGTGAAAAAAAAGTAAAGACGAGGGAACTGTAAGCGGTAAAATGAAACTATATTCCATATTTTAGGACTCATGACTGCACCACTCCATATCACCTGAGAACTTATTTTATTCTGGGCAGCTGTGTCTCAGGCGGTAAATGGGTGTCTACCAATTAGAGGACCAGTGGTTTGATCCAGACCCTGGTGCGTTAATATATCCTTGGTCAATTAACCCCAAATTGCAAGTTTATGCAAGTAGTCTTGGATAAAAGTCTCAGCTCAATGACATGTAATGTAATGTAACGTATCAACTGTAAAAAAGAGTCCTTGCTTCCACTATCTTTTAACCATCAGTCCTAAATAGTGCATTTACACCGAGGCCTTTGCTCTTCTTCTGCCAGAGCCATAACCTGACCTTTGCTGTCCATGTTGTAGAAGATTGACAAAACTCCACTGTAGGGTCTAATTACCTTGATCTACGTTTAGTGCATTTGGCAATCTACCTATGACAAGAAAATATTTTCATAGCTTTTGTGAAGTCTAAACCTGCACATATCACAACAAATATGTTTTTAGGGTTTTTAGTCTCAAAGCTAAAAGGCGAATTGCATCCATTGCTGCCAAACATAAGTCACTGAGTGGTCATGTTTTATTTGCACCTATACAATAGGTGACATGCATACAGAAACTTTAGTCTTTATGTATTATTGGATGTGTTACTCTTTGGATTATGGTAATACTTAATGTGTTTTAAAGGTGGGGGAGGTAATTTTGGAGAAACCAGCTCGAGTGCGCTAGAATTTGAAAATACACAGCCGAAAAAAATCTGCCACTTCCTTACAGAGCCCCTCCTCCAACACACACAAACGCTCACATGACCAATGAGGGCACGAGATAAGTTTGTGCACAGATGGAAGGCTGACAGGCAGGTAGGCCATCCAGTTATTTTAGCCGGGCCGGCTCAGATGATTGGTCGTGCTTTTTACAGCGCTACGGCTTCCACAGATTACATTTTTGTATGGATATTTTGTCAAAGCACTTAAGATATTCATTGCTATCGGGATGTTAAGAGCATTCCATGGAATATAACAAAAAGTGTATCTCGAGCCGGTTTCTGAAACTTACCTACCCCACCGTTAAGTGTTGAATACTTGACACTAATGCCATCACGTGAAAGAAAGCCGTCGTGAAGTCTGCCAGTCAAGTCAAGTTGAATCTAATCGAGAGCTAACCTGTGTGTATAAACAAAATAAATCAGAATGAAATCACTGTGTGTTTAGGTGAGAGCGTGTCTCCACTGCCGTTTATTTTGTAAGAGAAGAGAAACGGAAATCCGACAACGCTGTTGACATTCCCCGTTCCAGAGCGGACCCGTGACTTTGCTCCAAGGACTTCCAGTGTGCGAGTTATGAAAATGAATAAAATAAATCCTGATTTCATCTTCTGTGTTCCACTAAAGCTCTCTTTTCTGATTGCTTTTCTAAAAGGCCCTAAATCAGATTTGAATGCTTGACTGAAATGATGACTCTGTGTGTGTGCATGTGTGTTTGTGCATGTGTGTCTGTGTGAATACTTTTGAGGCCTTTGGCATGTGTGCAAGTATGTTTTCAGTTGTCAAACATTTCTAATTAGTTTGGAAGGACTTTTGCACCAATCATGTAAAAGCTTGGAGCTTTCTGAAGTATTGAC